TGCATCCTGGTGAACTTCTTGGCCGAGTCTGGATCCTTCCACTGGCCCAAGAAAGGGTCGCCTGCTCCGGGTTGGGAAATACCTGGAGATGTATTTATTTATTTTATTTATTTGGAGGGTGGAGGCTGAGGAGGGCGGGGTTCAGGGAGGGGACTGACCTCTGAGATCAGCAGCAGTCCCGGGAGCTCTCCAGCCACCACCCTGGAGGTTGACAAACACACAAAAATGGAAATACAGCAAATGGAGTCGCGCTGTGCAAATCACGCTTGAGACTACTATCTTCTTATACAGTTCTACTTACTACCAAAAAAAACAACAACACATGACAAATGGTTTTGCCAACAGGCCTAAGTGACAACTGCAGCAGTTGAACAGTGACCCGATAGTCCTTGACAGTACAAGTCTCTCTTCAGATTGATGCCGTCACCGGCTCATCATGCAGAGGAGTTAGCTCAGGACTAGAGATGTGAAGGCCCGGGGAAAACCTGGAAAAATTTGGGAAAAAATCGTCCCCCACCCCCCGTTTTTTTCCCTGAAGCCTTTTTTCCCCCCCGAAAAATTGGAAAAGAAAAAAGAAAAGAAAAAAAATGATTATGGAACGTTTTATTTTAACATGGTAAATAAAATATTTTAAGACAAGGTGTTCAAATATTTTCCATATCATTTCTAAAAAATACGTATGGTATCAGATTTATCTAATTTCTGTGCGCTGAGGACAAGCAAGTCCTAGGTTACCAACTGAACTCTCCAATGCAAGAACTTCCTTTAGGAGGTGCTGTTGTCACAAGAAAAGAAAAAGGTTTCAGTTTTGTTTTTGCATATGGGCAGGTATTCTGTTTGTAAATTGTCTGGTTACACTATATTTTTAATAGGCTAGTTGTGATAATCTCATGCCATGTAAAAATGTCCATAGTCATATTTTATGTCCCTAAAGTGACTTTCAATCTGGAAAACAAAAAAAGGTGCTAACGTAGCATTTTTTTCAAATTTTCCGAAAATTTCCTTTTCCCCCAGAAAAAACACGTTTTTTCTACCCGGGCTTCAAAATTTCCGGAAATTTTACATCTCTACTCAGGACTAGCTGTAGTGCGAACCAAAGGAGCGGCGATGGCACGCCTAGGTGGCTTTGCTGTTTCTTAGGGTGTCACCGCTTTTCTTTAGTGATGGAGCCCAACCCAGCTCTGGCAAGATTAAAAATGACACAAAGTCTTACCAGTATGTTCCAAGAAGCTTGTCCTTTCAAGAACTTTCAGGTCACTATTCAACTGGTGCCGTTGTCATTTATGCCTGGTGGCAAAACTACTTGATCTGTGTATTAATTTTGGTTGCAAGTAGAACAGTATAAGAAGACAGTGGTCTCCAGTGTGATTTGTACAGCATGACAGATTATTCTGTTTATTCGTTTGTACCACCCTGGAGGTTGGCAACCCTAGGCCCAAGAAGGGGATCCACAATAAGCAGAGGGGAGTGGATGGATACAAAGAGGAGGAAAAAGTATGAGGAACACTGTGACACTTTAAAAAAAAAAATGACGAATTTATTCACACATGTTAGTTAGGTGGCCTCATGTCCCCTTAAAAGACGAATGGTTAGCCAGTTGGGTGTCGTGGTTAAGTGCGCTGACTCTAATCTGGGAGAACTGGGTTTGATTCCCCACTCCACCACTTGCACCTGGCTGGATGGCCTTGGGCAAGCCGTAGTTCTGATAAGAGCTGTCCTTGAAAAAGAGCCGTTTCTGTCAGAGCTCTCTCAGCCCCACCTACCTCACAGGGTGTCTGTTGTGGGGAGGGGAAGGGGAGGGAATTTGTAAGCCGCTCTGAGACTCCTTTGGGTAGTGAAAGGCGGGGTATAAATCCAATCTCTTCTCTTCTCCTTCTTTAATAACACCCCAAAGACTGTTCCTGCCTAACTCATCTAAGATTTGTGAAGAAATTCAGTAGCTAGTCTTTAGGGGACCGTGAACTCTCAGTCATTTAGGCTGTAGCTGGAGGACAAAGACGGTACTTCTTCATGCAATGCGTACGAACCTCAAGAAATTCCGCATTGAAGAGACAGAGGGACGGTGGCTACTGGAGACAGTTAGGCCGATTGTGAATTGGCTTCTCCCTCCGTTGTTTAAGAAAACCCACGTTTGGAACAGAAATTCCCCGCTGCCTTTCATGCATGCTGGTTTCTCTTCTTTTGATTATCGGGTTTTATGATAGCTCAATGGCTCCCCTCCCTGTCCAGAGGCGGTATCTCTCTGAAAACCAGGGTGCCAGAGACAGAAAATAGGAGAAGGCCATAGAGCAGTGGTGGCGAACTTATGGCACGGGTGCCAGAGGTGGCACTCAGAGCCCTCTCTGTGGGCACGCATGCCATCGTCCCAGCCAGGCCCAGACCATCATTAAAGTATGGAATTCTCTGCCAAATAATTTGGGAATGCTTTCCTTACTTTGTTTGGATCATCTTAAGTGGTTAAGACGCTGAACTGCAGGTGGTGGAAAGTCAGTAGTTCCGCAGTTCGAGACCTGGGTGCCGCATGACGGAGTGAGCTCCCGTCTCTAGTTCCAGCTCCTGCCAACCAAGCAGTTCGAAAGCAAGAAATTGCAAGTAGATAAATAGGTACCACTTCAGTGGGAAGGGAACAGCATTCCGTGCGCCTTGGTGTTCAGTCATGCCGGCCACATGACCACGGAAACGTCTTCGGACAGCGCTGACTCTTCGGCTTTGAAACTGAGATGAGCACCGCAACCCTAGAGTCGGACTCGACTGGCTTTCGAGCAAGGGAAACCTTTACCTTTACCTAAGAATGTATGAGTTGTTTTTTCTCAAGTAAAACCTCAGTATTCAGGTTAAATTGCCGTGTTGGCACTTTGCGATAAATAAGTGGGTTTTGGGTCGCAGTTTGGGCACTCGGTCTCTAAAAGGTTCGCCATCACTACCATAGAGGGTTGCCAACTCCGGGTTGGGAATGAACAGGGCTTTTTTTCTCTCTTTTTGATAAAGAGGTGCCGGGACTCTCAAGAGGGAAATGAAGTTTTCAATCTGTATACTGAAAGCTCATGAACTGTTAAACATTTCTTGAAGCATAACTGATTTATGCAGCAGCCAACTCGCTCGCTCACAACTTTGATGCCAATAGCTCACAAACTAGCATTTTTGCTAAAGAAGAAGAAGAAGAAGAAGAAGAGGAGATTGGATTTATACCCTGCCCTTCACTACCCAAAGGTGTCTCGGGGCAGCTTACAAACTCCTTCCCCTTCCCTTCCCCACAACAGACACTCCGTGAGGTAGGTGGGGCTGAGGGAGCTCTGACAGAAACTGCTCTTTTTCAAGGACAGCTCTTATCAGAACTATGGCTTGCCCAAAGTCATCCAGCCAGATGCAAGTGGAGGAGTGGGGGATGAAATCCGGTTCTCCCAGATTAGAGTCCGCGCACTTAACCACTAACACCAAACTGGCCCCACGGCTTACAGTGAGCATTGAGCCAAAGTACAACTTCTAATTAAAGGGTTCCAGTCCAGAAAAACTAATACTAGAATAAAAACTGATTCGGCTTACTCACGCATGAACACACATGAAGCTGCCTTTACTGAATCAGACCATTGGTCCATCACGGTCAGTACTGCCTACTCAGACTGGCAGCGGCTCTTGTCAACCAGCCTCTTAGTGGGCTTGGTTGCCATAGAGACGTGGGGGTGAGACCAAGAATGCTGTTATCTTTCTTGACTTAGCCATGTAACCTTGAGGCCTGACTGTCTCTAGTGTCCGCTTTCCCCTGAGAATGTTAGGCCGTTAGTTAGGCGGGCTTTTTCGCTTAGGTGTGATTGGCCAAGAGCCATTGAGGTCCTGTTTAATTTTAGTATAATTGCTTGCTTCCCGCGCTTGACCTCAGTTCTAACAAAGAATCGTTATGAGTCTGGATCCTATCAATGTCTCAATAAACTTTAATTCTTCTGAATGACTGTTGTTGGGAGCTGATTTCTCCAGGGTCTCTGACAGCTCTCCAGGGTCTCGGGCAGACGTCTTTCACATCACCTACTGCCTGGTCCTGCCGGGGATTGAACCTGGGACCATCTGCATGCAAAGCAGAGGCTCCGCCTCTGAGCCACAGCCCCTCCCCAGTGCGCCACAAGACTGCTGATTATTTATTTATTATATTTATACCACGCCCATCCTGTGAACAGGTTCCTGTGACAAACATAGGTGCTTCTCTGGAATTATAGCTCACAAGACCCCACAGGATGCCTTTAGACCCCCTAGAGACGTGTCTGGCAATACTTTGTTTTAGGATCAGCCTACAAGAAACCCAGGAAAAATGAGAAGAAGAAGAGAAGAGGAGATTGGATTTATACCCCGCCCTTTACTCGGAGTCTCAGAGCAGCTTACAAACTCATTTCCCTTCCCTTCCCCACACCAGACGCCCTGTGAGGCAGGTGGGGCTGAGAGAGCTCTTGACAGAGACTGCTCTTTTTCAAGAACAGCTCTTATCAGATCTACGGCTTGCCCAAGGTCATCCAGCCAGGTGCAAGCAGAGGAGTGGGGGAATCAAACCCGGCTCTCCCAGATTAAAGTCCGCGCACTTCACCACTACACCATACTGGCTCTCACCAAAATGAGGGGCGCCTGGTGGAGAAGGACCCTGAGGAATAATAGTAATTATTGTTTAGCAATGTGTGTCTAGTGGGGAGATCCTAAGATTGTCTGGCAGGCAGAAGTCATAGCTCTTTTAGCACTGTGCACCACGGTGTGGTGAGCTAGATTTGTTTTTAAGGCAAGAGATGTTTCAGAGGTGGTTTTGCCATTGGCTTCCTCTGCACAGCAACCCTGGACTTCCTTGGTGGTCTCCCATCCAAGTACAAACCAGGGCCGACCCTGCTTGGCTTCTGAGATCGGATGAGATCATGCCAGGCTGGGCCATCCAGGTCAGGCCAGAAATGTGGCCAGCCCACGGCAAAGATTGCCATGTGAATCCTTTCCTCCCTCCCAAACTGCCCACAAACAAACACCCCCCCTACCTGCTCCCACGAAACAATGGTGTGCCGCTCTGCTGCCTCCTTCTCTACAAACGTCACTTCGGTCACTCCCGGAGAAGCTTCTAGTAGAAGGAAAAACATGATTTTGTCATTTGGGGGTGTGTCGTCCAGGACAGACAACGACATGCGAGAAGCTTTCCAAGGAAATCTAAAGTGTGCCTGTGTCCAGCACTGGCGTCCTTCAATTGGGACTTGCAACAGAAGTTGTTGAAGCCTCAGTGGACAATACTGACTTTGATGGACCAAGGGTCGGATTCAGCATACGGTAGCTTCATGTCCATGTTCGGGAGAGGCTTGGCATGCAGAAAGCCCCAGGTTCAATCCCTGGCATCTCCAGCTGAAAAGGACCAGGCAGCAGATGATGTGAAAGACCTCCGCCTGAGACCCTGGAGAGCTGTAAAGAGGGGCTGTGGCTGAGTGGAAGATCCTCTGCTTGGCAGGCAGAAGGTCCCAGGTTCAATCCCCAGCATCTCCAGTTAAAAAGGACCAGACAGCAGGTGATGTGAAAGACCTCCGCCTGAGACCTGGAGAGCTGTAAAGAGGGGCTGTGGCTCAGTGGTAGAGCCTCTGCTTGGCAGGCAAAAGGCCCCAGGTTCAATCCCCGGCATCTCCAGTTAAAAAGAACCAGGAAGAAGGTGATGTGAAGCACCTCTGCCTGAGACCCTGGAGAGCTGCTACCAGTCTGAGTAGACAATACTGAGCTAAATTCTGCTCTGCTTCCACATGCTATATTTTGCCAGTTTGGTGTTATGGTTAAGTGTGCGGACTCTAATCTGGGAGAACCGGGTTTGATTCCCCCACTCCTCCACTTGCACCTGCTGATGTGACCTTGGGTCAGTCACAAGCTCTGGCACAGCTGTTCCTGAAAAAGAGCAGTCCTCGACAGGGCTCTCTCAGCCTCACCTGCCTCACAGGGTGTCTGTTGTGGGGAGGGGAGGGGAAAGGAGTGTGTAAGCCGCTCTGAGACACCTTTGGGTAGTGAAGGGTGGGGTATAAATCCAATCTCCTCCTCTTCCTTCTCTATTTATTGGATCACATTTGTAACATGCCTTTGTGAGCTGCGTCATGCACGGAGGTAGGACAGAAACAGTGTTGTGTTAAATTGTTAAAATTGGGGTGAAGGGCTTTGGAAGTGCCGACTAGAGATCGGCAAATAAACAGGCACCCCATATTCGGGAGCAGGCATGGGTGTCCGTGCCCGATTTCCCATATTTGCCCACCAGCCACCATAGGAAAGTATAACTTTAAAGGATCAGAGGGTCGCACCCCAGGGCCGAGTTGCAAACACAAGGAGAAAGACAGCAGACGCAAGCCTTTGAAGCATCAAAGGCTAAGATGGTTAAAAAAAAATCCTGTTAGGTCATTAAGTTCGTTTTCCTTTGGCTCTTTGCAGAAGAAAAGTCTCTCTTTCCCCACGTTCATGCTTAAATCATTTCGTTCTGGCCGGACGTACAAATCTCTCTCTCTGCTTTACGGGAGGGCCGATCAGCCAACCACAGCTTCCAGAAGAGAGGCATTAATAAGGTGGCAGATTATCAATAGAATAAATTTGGGTCCTTCTGAGATCAAAGAAAGGGGTCAGGGTCGGATGGGGGAAGATTGTGCACAGCATCCGTAGTGGGAAAGGGTGGAGGGCGGAAGACTCGGTAGGTTCTAAAAGAGTCTGAACCAGATCCTAGATCAAACGAGAGACTGCCTGAAGAGCCGGGATGTTCAATTAAAAATATCTCTGGGGCAAACATAACATTGAACCTAAGAGTGACACGTGGCAGGGAGAAGGGAGTCACAGAAGTACCAGAGAATGCTTCGTGAGGAGAGTTGCCAACCTCCAGGTGGGCACCTGGTTATATTCCCATTTCATCCCAATCTTCCTCAGGAGTAACCCTATTGTACTGAAAGGTGTCAGATCAATTGGTAGCACAGTGTTGCCTGGAGACAACGGCTGCTTTGGAAGGTGGGGTCTGTGGCGTCAATACCTTGGCTGAGGTCCCTCCCCAGCCTTCCCCAGCGGCTACAAGCATGGACGACTTCAAAAGGGAATTAGATAAACATATGGAGCAGAGGTCCATTGGTGGCTATTAGCCACGAGGTATAAATAGGAACTCTGGGTCTGGGGCAAGGGATGCTCTGTCTTCTTGGTGCTTGGGGGGGGGGCAACAGTGGGAGGGGCTTCTAGTGTCCTGGCCCCACTGCTGGACCTCCTGAGGGCACCTGGTGTTTTTGGCCACTGTGTGACACAGAGTGTTGGACTGGATGGGCCACTGGCCTGACCCAACATGGGCTTCTCTTGTGTTCTTCTATGGAGCAGAGGTCCATCAGTGGCTATTAGCCACAAAGTATAGATAGGGACTCTCTGTCTGAGGCAAGTGATGCTCTGTCTTCTTGGTGCTTGGGGGGGGGGGCAACAGTGGGAGGGCTTCTAGTGTCTTTGCCCCACTGCTGGACCTGCTGGTGGCACCTGGTATTTCTGGCCCCTCTGTGTTAAGAGTGTGGGACTGGATGGGCCACTGGCCTGATCCAACATTGGCCTCTCTCATGTTCTTAAGCCCCAAATCTGACGATACCACTGAACAGGTCAAGCAGAACAAGGCTGTTCAGGATTTTCTTTTCTGGCTGGGTCCCAGGCAGAGAAAGATCTTTCCCAGCACCTTCTACTAGGGGACCCTATCCACTGGTGAGCTGCGACTGTGCTGAGGGCCTTCCCAAAGGGTGGACGTTTCCAGACCGCGGGCCTTTCCTGTGGTGGCCCCTTCCGTATTAAGAGCCGTGCCGGAAAACCCACTCGCAGGATCTGTTATAGCATCAGATCCCTGGAGATCAGTTCTCATTCCGGGAGATCTCCAGGCCCCACCTGGAGGCTGGCAACTATATCCAGTGCACGTGTGTGTGGGTCTTCCAGGCCTCGCACGGGGCTCAGATCTTGCACGCAAGGAGGCTGCAAACAGCCCTTTGCTGCAATGGCCATAATCTGCTGCATTACACCTGCCCGCTTGGAGCGCTGGTTTCTGGCGGTTACCATGCCAACCCAGGGACTCTGAACCCGGGCTCCGCCCTCCTGCGGCTTACCTAAGATGCGCGTGACCCCCAGGGTGAGTCTGTCCACGTAGGGCTTGATGCTGCCACGCCCAGCCTTCTCCTCCATTCTCCTGCGGCATCAGCACCTAGCACAGGAACAAGGCAACAAAAAGACACCCGTTTGAGCCGATTTGGTCCCCGCTCACGACCCGTAGTGAGTTGCCGCCGGGGATGATGGGGACTGTAGTCCTTTTTTTATATACCCGTTTTAACACCTTTCGGCGCACTTCCTCACGGGAGTCGTAGTTCGTTCCGAAAGCCACCCCGCGGGAGGCCGTGGGCAAAAGGACTTCAACCCCCACAAAGCATCGGCCGAGGCTTAAAAATCTCCCCGCCCCACCCTGGCGTTTGACTGGAGTCTTCCGGGAAAGGCGGTGATAGGCTGCTCCCCCGGCCGGCGCCGTATCTGGGCAAAGCCGAGGCAAGGGCAGCCAATGGGGAGCGAGAAGAGCGAGCGGTGGGCGTGGCTGGGCGGAGGGACGCTGGGAGTGGCGGTTGTTTCAAGATGGCGGATGTGGCCGCGGGGCCAAGGCCGGAAGGAGCCGCTTACTGGAGTCGGGACTGTATCCTTCCCTCGGGGGCTGTGAGGGGCGGCGGTGGCGTTGGAATAAGGGCATTGATACGACCTGTAATGATAATTTGGGCCTAGTGACGGTAGCAGTGCTCATTGATCGGTTTATTAGTAGACGCTGGTCTACCTTGCAGGGCTGTTGTGAGGGGCTGCGAATGCGGAGCGCTTTGAGAGCTCGGGAGGGCTCCCTGCGGGTGGTTGTCGTCGTTAACGTGTCATTTTTTCTTTCCTTCTTAAATTCTTATGTTGCCTTCCCCCCCAGGGCGTTGTGTGTGCCTCTCCCTTCACAACAGCCCTGTGAGCAGTGTTCCCTCTAAGCTGAGTGAGTGTGACCCAGCTCACAGTTTTTTAGCCTTTGGCTCCCTCATATTTATTTATTTATTTATTTTTGACTCCGCTCAGGAAGGATGGCTCCAATGCCGCCTCTAAGTTGTGGACTCGGGTGAGCAAAACATTCTTCTTTGTGAACTATTGGGCATTAAAGTTGTGAGCGAGCGATTTGGCTGCTGCATAAATTAGTTTGCTCTGGAGCCCCATCCTTCCTGAACTGAGACAAAAATGTGTGAGCCGGAGGCTAAAAGACTGTGAGCTAGCTCACACTAACTCAGCTTAGAGGGAACACTGGACGGCTCGGGGATGTACTAAAAGGAAGGACAGGATTGCCCGTTGGAAACAATAGGAGACGCTGGAAGGCCCATTGGAAATTCAGGAGCCGAATCGCTCGCTTACAACTTTAATGCCTGTCGTTCACAAAGTCGGATTTTTGCACACAAGACTTCCACAACTTAGAGGGAGCACTGCCTGTGAGGTAGTTTAGGCCTGTGGTGACTGACTGGCCTCTCGAGGCAAGAGGAGGGGCTTGAATGCGAGTGTCTTTGAGGGGTGTCTGAAACTTTAGGCAGTTGCGCCAAACTGGCTTATTCCTTCTGGAGGTGGTACGGATGCCAGCCTCCAGGTGGGACCTGGAGAGCCCCTGGAATTACAGCTCCTCTCCAGGGTACAGAGATGAGTTCCCCTGGATGCTTTGGAAGATGGACTGTATGATGTTGTACCCCATTGAGGTCCTCGTCCTCCCCAGGCTCCATCCCCAAGTCTCCATGAGTTTCCCAGCCTGGATCTGGCAACCCTGCCCAACCGTCCCCTGCCAGTGGCTGGGGAAGGGGGACGTGGCAACCCGAGGAGGTGGACTCTGCCATACAAAATCTTCTGTCCCCAGCTCATCCGTTTGTTCTTTTGACTGCAGTGGATTGGCACAGTTACTTTTAGTAATATCTGAAGAAGTGTCCATGCCCACGAAAGTTCCTACCTTGAATAAAACTTTGTTGGTCTTAAGGGTGCCGCTGGACTCGTACTTTGTCTTAGGGCTGGCTTGCCCGGGCTTCCCACAGCCACGGGGCACCCAGGCAAGCTAAGGGAAGGCATGGGGGTGTGGCCTAATATGCCAATGAGCTGTGCTGTTGGGGTGTGGCCTAATACGTCAATTAGTTTCTGCTGTTGGGTGTGGCCTGTTGATTTCTTTTAGGATTGACTGATTTGATCTTTTTGCAGTCCAAGGGACTCTCAAGAGTCTTCTCCAGCACCATAGTTGAAAAGAATCTATTATTCGGCGCTCGGCCTTCCTTATAGTCCAACTCTCGCAGCCATACATGACTATTGGGAATACCATTGCTTTGACCATGCGGACATCACCTACTACTTGCACCCTTTTAAGTGGAGATGTTGCGGATTGAACCTGAGACCTTCTGCACTCAAAGCACAGGCTCTACCACTGAGCCACAATCCCTGCCTGGTATGCTCTGGCATGCAGTTGTTGTCGTATGTCTTCCCTTCGTGTTCGTACCCTTGCCAACGGATAGTGGCCATCTTTGTTCTTTGTTAAGGCAGGTTGGCATTTTGGGATGCTGGCATTGTTGGGATCATTCCCAGAGTGCACCAGTGAGGATGCTGTTGGAGCGGGTGTATGACACGTCGGAGCGGGAAGTACTGAATAAATGGTGCCTGACACGTATGCCGAATTTTAAGGTCTCTAGAATGTCTTTCCTCAGCATTGCCTCAAGACCACCCCTGATCTTGGGATTAAACAATAGAGCAGAAATGTTTATCTATTTACTTTATTTCCCACTTATTTTATTTATTTTGTATTATTAAATTTATACCCCGCCAGTGGGGACCTAAAGCAGCTGATATCGTTCTCCTCTCTTCCAGTTTATCCTCACAAACAGCCCTGTGATGTAGGTCAGGCCGAGAGCGTGGGACTGGCCCGAGGTCACCCAGCGAGCTTCCACAGCTGAGTGGGGATTCGAACCTGGGTCTCCCAGATCCCAGTCCGACACTTTAACCGCTACACCGTGCTAGCTCTCGTCTCCAGACGAGCCATTTCCAGACATTTCGACGGTGGGAGAAACAAGCAGGGTTAACTTCCTCTTTTTCTTCTGGTCACCCAAATTCTTGTCTTCGTCATCTGGTTGCACGATGGGCCCTTCGTGGAAGACTGCGGTCTAGTCTGGCTTCGTTAGGAGAGGTTGCTCGACTGGTCTTTCCCAAACGAGATGCTGAATCCGAACAGTTGAGGGCACTTCTGTTGCCGCCCTGCCCTTTCTCTGGGGAGCTCCTGTTTGATCTTTACCCAAGCACAGAGGACGGGCTGAGAAATGAGGGCTAGCCCAGGGGTCTCCCTCCCCCCAGAGCATCGCGACTGATGAGCATTTGAACCCATGTCCCTCTGGCTGCGGCGCTCGGTCACACTGGCGCTTCAGGGCCTTGTGTGAAGCCTGTACTGCTGGCAGGGCAGGATCGTGCCGGATTCTTTCGTCGGAAGTGAAAAGGGGAAGGTTGAATGGAGCAGAGGTTCCAGGAAGGAAACCTGCCAGGAGCGAATGAGAGGAAGTTGAGTCTGGTCTGAGTGGTGGCGGGCTTTCTACAGGAGCGTGGGTGAGCAGCCAGGGCCGCTAAAAGAAGTGATGGGAAGAGGATTGCTGGAGGCAGTTTGAGAATCCTTGTTAAAAATGCTTCCTTTTGGCATCTGGTTAGGGTGGCTCAGAGGTTAAGACGCCGAGCTGCAGACCGGAAGGTCGGCAGTTCGAGACCCGAGTGCCGCGGGACAGAGTGAGCTCCCTTCTCTGGCCCCAGCTCCTGCCGACCTAGCCGTTCTGAAGCAAGACACTGCAAGCGGATAAATAGGTACCGCTTTGGTGGGAAGGTGACAGCATTCTGTGTGCCTCTGCATTTAGTCATGCCGGCCACATAACCACGGAGAAGTCTTCGGACAGCGCTGGCTCTTCGGCTTGGAAACGGAGATGAGTACTGCCCCCTAGAGTCGGATTTGACTGGCTTTCGAGCAAGGGAAACCTTTACCTTTACCTAGAGTTGCCTGACACCTTGCTTGTGGAATTCCCTTCCCCCCGAGGCCCGCTTGATGCCTGCATTGGTCCTTTTTAGGCACCAGGCCAAAATGTTTCTGTTCATCAAGCCTTGTAACTGAGCATGGTGTAGTGGTTAAATTGTCAGACTAGGATCTGGGGAAATCAGGTTCGAGTCCCGTCTCTGCTGTGTGAGCTGGTGGGTGGCCTTGGGCCAATCACATGCTCTCAGCCTAACCCACCTCGCAGGGATGTTGTGAGGATAAAATGGAGGAGAGAGTGATGTAAGCGGCTTTGGGTCCCCATTGAGGAGAAAGGTGGGGTTTGAATAAGGTCCGTAAAATGAACAAATAAAGGTTTTTAATGAAGGTGTTGACCTTTCGATACTATTTTAGTCTGGAAACTTATTTTAAGCTGTCGGTGGTCTGTTTGTATGCTCTGTGTTTTTAATGCTGGATTTTTAGTGCTGGGTTTTAGTTAATATTTATTATTTATTTTCGATTGATATCCCGCCTTGCCTGCACAGTATCTTTTAATATTTTGTTTTTAATGGTTTGCATTTATCCTTCTTTCTTTCCCAAGCCGCCCCAGGCGGGTTCCTGGAGAGGGGACAGAAACGTTTTTTGAATCATTTTCTAATAAATCATGGTGGGCTGTTGCTTGTATTTTGGAGGGAAGCAGTTTCTCTTCCTGATCAGGAGTGAGTTGCTGCTAACGCGAATAGCTGTTGGGTCAAGAAGGGTCTCCGTGTTAGTCTGTTTGTAGCAGTAGAAAAGAGCAAGAGTCCAGTGGGACATTAAAGACTAACAAAATTTGTGGCAGGGGTAGAGATGTGAAGGCCCGGGAAAAAAAAACGGAAAAATTCGGAAAAAGAACGGGTTTTTTCCGTTTTTTTCCTGAAGCCTTTTTGTTTTTTTCTGAAAAATTGGAAAAATTGAAAAAAGAAAAGAAAAGAAAAAAATTAATTATGGAACGTTTTATTTTAACATGATGAATAAAATATTTTAAGACTAGGTGTTCAAATATTTTCCAAATCATTTCTAAAAAATACATATGGTATCAGATTGATCTAATTTCTGTGCACTGAGGACAAGCAAGTCCTAGGTTACAAACTGAACTCTCCAAAGCAAGAACAAGATGCATTTCTTCCTTTAGGAGGTGCTGTTGTCACAAGAAAAGAAAAAGGTTTCAGTTTTGTTTTTGCATGTGGGTGGGTATTCTGTTTGTAATAATTGTTTGGATACACGATATTTTTAATAGGCTAGTTGTGATAATCTCATGCCAAGTAAAAATGTCCATAGTCACATTTTATGTTCCTAAAGTAACAGAATGACTTTCAATCTGGAAAAGAAAAAAGAAGTGCTAATGTAGCATTTTTTTCAATTTTTCCAAAAATTTCCATTTCCCCCCAAAAAAACCCAGAAAAAACCCGGGGATTTTTCCGAGCTTCAAAATTTCCGGAAATTTTACATCTCTAGGCAGGGGAGGAGCTTTCATGAGTCACTGCTCCCTTCTTCAGGTTGAAAAGAGCGGGTCCAGGAAGGTATCTGAAGAAGCGAGCCGTGACTCAATTACAGCACCTCCCCTGCCACAACTTTTGTTAGTCTTTAAGGCAGTGATGGCAAACCTTTTA